CCATGCTGGTTAAGTTGTTTAAGCAAGTTTCCATGTTGGTTAGGTTATTTAGCGAGTGTCCATGTTGGTTATTTAGCGAGTGTCGATGTTGGTTAAGTTATTTAGCGCGTGTCCAGGATGGATAGGTTATTTAGCGAGTGTCCATGATGGTGTGTATGTTGAACTTCTTTCACACCGTACATAGCGAACCATGCTCATCCAGAGGTGCGGGGGAAGGACAACAAACTAAACACAAAAAGCAATTCTAAAGAAAATGTATTTTCAATCTAGATTTTAAAAATGCGTAGCTCGAGTGACTTCCTAATATCGGAAGGAAAAAACATTCCAGACTGCTGCAGAAGTGCGCTGCGCTACGAACCCGGCGAACCGAGTTCGATTCCCGCTCACGGCCACCACCGGTGACGATTATTTGAACCGGTCCTGGGCCTCCCCTAGGTAGACTCAGCCTCAAACGAGTAACTGGTGTGGTGTGTAGTAAACATCGCCACTGGGGAGACAAAGGCGGTCGGGCGTGGTGAATCCAAGTCCCGGGTAATAAAGCTAGTTATCTATATAACATTGTTTTTTTTACCCAAAGTGTTACACATGAATGCAGCTGCGCTTATACAATATACCACTAGAAATAACAAAAATGCCGATACATGCAAATCGTGTAACGAATAACATGACTCGGTTTCTTAAACGTATTTTTCCGCACCGTTTGTTTAATAAAGAAAAGTTTTACTATATTAAATACAAAGATGTCAGATCTTGTCATCATCATAACAATCGCACGGATAATCAATGCAGCATATTAAGGTGCAGCAATGCATTATGTCAATTAATATTTCTTTTTTGGTCTCGTCACTTATTTTCGTTAAAGTACGCATCTTTGTTTTTCTCAAAAGGCAAGGCACATGATGTGGGTGCCTTTCGTTTTTTCCTTTAAATTCATTTCCCGACTACTTCGTGCAAATAAAAAAATTGCTTTTGTTAATCCATCATATAATAGTGCCATTCGCAACTAGAGCCCCAAAATCTGTATATCGTACATATATTATACATATGTAACGGGTTCCGGAGACACTTCTAGATGTAACTTCTTTATTACAATACAACACTCCAACAGTCCTGATACTCTGTTACAGCCTAGGTACACAGCCTAGCTACACAGCCTAGATACTCTAGATACTCTACTCTGGCTACGCTCGCCCTCACAAGGTCGTAGAGTCGGGAGTTCCAGAGTCCCACCACTGGCTCTCACAGCATCCCAGGGTCTTCAGATGGCTGGTCGTGGGTCTTGGGTCTTGAGTTACAACTGGGCCCCGATCGTCCAGGGAGCTCTCCTTTTATGCCTGGTCCAACGAGGGGTGGGGCCGTGTGCGCCACCAGACATCCCACAGAGCACACACAGCCCCCCCCCCCCCCCCGTTGGCGGCGCCCAGGGGATTAAGCGCCTGGGAACTCAACGCCTGGCGCCCAGAGGCTTAAGCGTCTGGACCCCCTGGGAACCCAGCGCCTGGCGCCCAGAGGCTTAAGCGTCTGGACTCGCCTGGGATCCCAGAGCCCCCAGCAGCCCCTCCCTTCTTATGTCACTACACATATATAAAATAAACTCCTTAAAAATTTTTTTAAACGCTTTTATTCACAACTTAGTTCAACTCACGGTCGAAAAGTACGCCAATGATGCGGCGCCTGCTCCCACATCAACGCTGACTTGAATCGTTTGATGACTTTATAACTGCGTCTTGAATGTCCAACTTCTGTGCTTGTGTGGAGCGATGGCGGCCGTAACTCGACCACGTGGCGCGTGCGCGACCTGAGGCACGCGGCGCCGGCTTCTTGTGCGAGCCGATTCCACAGTTTAGGGACCGCGGCGTTTTTTGACCTACACATAGATATATAATTAATAAGCCATCCATACAAACATTGCTTGAAAGCAGGCATGCATTGTCTCCGGATCGGAGTACTTGTGCAACATTGGGAATTGATTGGAGAACAGGAAGTAAACTAACTTTTGATTACAAGATTTGATCACGACAAACACAAGTGAAGTTAAATAAACTCCTTAAAAAAAGTTTAAAGAAACGGTTTTATTCAAAACTTCGTTTAACTCACGCTCGAGAAGTATGTCAACGATGCGGCACCTGCTCCCACATCAACGCTTACTTTAATAAATTGATCTTCTTGGTTCTTTCGGTAAAGCAATGTAGAAGGGAAATAATCAAATAACAAAAATAGAACACAATAAAATAAAAATTCTCACGACGAAATGTTATAAATGAATCTTCAATGTAAAACTTTTGTTTGCGTGGAGCGCGGGTGCCCCTAACTCGTGACACGGAGCGTGCGCGCCTGAGGCACGTGGCGCCTGCTTCTTGGGCGACGCGATTCGAGAGTTTAGGGACCGCGGAATTTTTGACCTACACAAATATATATAAATAATAAGGCGTCCATACAAAATGTAAATTGCTTTAAAGTAGCGAATTAATTTATGAATTGATGCCGATTTTGATACAGGCATGCATTGTCACCGGATCTGAGTCCGTGTGCAACATTTGGAATTGATTGGACAACAGGAAGTAGACTAAATGTTGATTTCAAGATGTGACCACGACACAGGAATAAAGTTAAGTAAAACCGTTGAAAACCCTCGACTGTGTACTGTAGTTGTAATTATTCTACCCAGAGGTGGGTAGAATAAGGGTGGGTAGAATAATACATAGTGTTATATTAAAATGGATAAGGCAGCAACTGCAGCAGCAGCAGCAAGTGCAGTAGCAGCAGCAAGTGCAGCAGCAGCAGCAACTGCAGCAGCAGCAGCAACTGCAGCAGCAGCAACTGCTGCAGCAGCAGTAACTGCAGCTCCCTTTGATGCTGTTAATCCTGCATAATGCACATGCATATGCAGTACTAATCACATTCCTGCATTTCCCATAAATATGCTAAATTCCTTTTGATATGCAAATTCCTTTGTCAATGCGCCCAGCTTATATATATGCTCCAAGCTCGTGTGCTGTTTCATTCAGACTCTGTCGCCTCGACGGACCTGGTTTTCACCTGAGGACGGCTGCTTGCGTTGTGGCCGAAACGTCGTGAGAATTGTTTTATTTTTATTATTTTATTACTTCCCTTCTACGTGACTTTACCGAAAGAACCAAGAAGACCATCGATGTTGTTACAAGCTACAAGATCACCATCCATGAAGAAGAATGGGACAATATTCTTTTGACGGTCACGGAACATGGAAATCCTAACATCATCTGCTAGGAGATTCTACTCCTGCAGTCTGGAGCCCAACTATGCCTTGGTTAGTTCCAAATCCCTGACAAGGTCTTTCAGTTCACTTTGTGTTATGAAGTGTGGTTCAGAGGAGGAGGATGGGAGAAATTCTGGGTCATGTGACCTTGATGGTTCAGGAACAGAAGTTTAATCCTCTTCTTCGTCTGACTCAAGTGAAAATGATTCTGGTGCATTAGGAACTGGCAGTTATCCGTGGGATACTGGGTGTAAAGCTGATGGAATGTTTGGATAATGCACAGTACACTTATTCCTCTTTGATACACCTTTCCCAACTGGAGGCGTCATGAAGAAGTAACAATTGCTGATATGATGTTTGCTCTCTCCAAATCATTCCATTCTCGGCGTCTTGGTTGTATATTGTGGTGAGCACGTGGTGGGGCGATTGCGTGGTGGGCCGCGCGGTGTAGGAGTAGTGTGTGATGCCTGCGGGCTCGAGCGACGGGGCTGTCCAGTGATGGAAGCCCAGTGAGAGGGGGGTCCGGGGGCACCTCCACCCCAACCCTTACCCCCCCGCGACCCCGCTAGGGGGCGGGTGAGGCAGGCTGAAGATCGCGAATCGGCCACCGCCCGCGGTGGGGGCCGCGTGAAGCTGGCTGCGCAGCACCAGGAAGGCGCCGGGGGGCGTCGGCCCCCCATTCCGCATTACATGACACAAATACCCCACCATAGCCTTAATAGACTGTAGGAGCAAGTGCTGTTAGCGAGTAACACTTATGAAAGCGAGTACAGGGGCAGTCCAAAAATTACGTCACGCGATTTTGGATGATTTTTGATCCCCGTCGTCACAAAAAGTCAGACCCCACCTCAAATATGACGTCAAAGCTCTGCCCCCTCCCCAAAACCATATTTCCATTTCGAAAAATAAAACATGCTTCAAATCGCTTTAAACTATTGTCATTGTAGTGCGTATTTAATGTGGCGCTGCACTCTGTTGGAGAAAATACGTATTAAAAAGGCGTTGGAAAACTTAAATTTAGCATAAAATTCACTTGAAAATATTCAACGTTTACCTAAAACTGCAGATGTTCAGAATATTATATTGAAATTAAATTTCCAATTATAAAATATTAAAAGTAATTATAACTATTAAAAAATAATTGAAATTTTGTAGCAGAACGAATAAAAATGGAGAGTACAATTATAACACATTCATTCCACAGAATGAAAAGCCCTGGTAGAATCATTAGCATCAAACTGTTTAATACAAATCATTAAAAAAAATCTAAATGCTTCTCCATTCCCCCATGGAGAAGAAAAATGCTCCTTCATGGAATAAATGAAAGGTGACCTTTGTAACTTTAAATAATTTAATAGTTAATATTGAAAATTAATTAAAAAATTTGTGTAGTTATAACAATTCTATTTTTATTTAAAATTGCGCATCTTGATGTGACGTCACATTTCTCAAACCCCTCCCCTCGTTACACATCGTCACAAATGTCTGACCCTCCCCGCCAGGTGCATGACGTCATTTATGGACGGCCCCTTATGACGATTATAAAACTGTATTAAGTTTCTTGCAGTCGAGTTTGTTGTCCATATTTCATCTCGCGAGTGCCAGGACAACCATGTGTGCGTGGTAGAAGAGAATGGAGAGATACACCTCCATCACACACCGAAAGGCTCAAACCTCCTCTAAAGGAGAGCACAACAAATGCATAAATAACTCCCCCACACCTCCCCGCTCCGACCTCCACACAAAGGGAAACCATATGGCATTGTGTAATGCTTTGGGTTTATTTCAAACATACAAAACGGAAAGTAACAAAAACAAAAACTCCAGAAACATGACCAGCATACAGTAGTAACGGTAACCCTCGCGGTTGAATCGCTCGCGAGAACTCTTCACTGAAGAGAGTGTTTCCTTCCGCTTCGGAATTCAGACTCCAGTCTCAGTCCAACTGGAAAAAAAAAATTGATGCAAATATTTCCTCTTATTTCTGACGGGGTTTTCTCGTGTTTTTTCAGCTTGTTGTTCGTCTTAAGTTTTTTTGCATCAAGGACGTTCATAAAAGGAATGTCTGGTCAAAAAACATTGAATTACGAGTGCGTGTATAAAAAAGCATGCATGTCAAACTCATTAGCAGCCAGATAAAGATGATCTGTCTTATAACAAACATGAGTCATTCTGTGATGCTGCGCACCTTGCCTACTAAAAACATGGCAATATTGAATGGTGGGGGGGGGGGGGGGGTGTGATACTGTAAAGGGAGGAATATTTCACACAATTAATCCCTTAAGAATGTATGACGTATTCATAAAATGGTAAAATAGAAATCATGTGATCTGATTAAAATGAGAAAAAGCCAAAGTCTCTTGTGTTAAAACACCACGCAAGCCTCACAAAGTTCGCATTCATTTGGCCACTTTTTTGCAGGTTAGACCAAATGTAACCAAAGGGCAATGAAGACACCGATCGTGGACCGAAAATGGCTGCGATTTTTCTCTTTTGTACTAAACAATTCCACCCCAATTTACAGACAAGTCTCTGAATTTCACAATTAGCCCAACATTTGGAGGGTAGGGGGCGGGTGCGGGGAAAATACCCTTTGTGTAGTTCACTGGGACATTTACAGACAGTCAAATGTACAATTGTTTTTATGCTTGAGAAATCTTTATAATCATGATCATGACGTTCCACGGCTCAAAGTTGCAGTTTGCGCTTGGGAATTTCACAAGGGTGATGAGACCGTCATCACCACCTTCCCGATTGAGGGAATCTATCCGATGACCAATCAATATGCAGCGCAATATTAAATACTCTTAATGTCATTTTCACATTGAAACAAGTGCAAATCTCAACAGTAAATGTTTAGCGTTCAAGTAACATTATGGATTTTAAATATTTTCTAGCATTTTTTTCCTTTTTGTAATTTTTATTTATTTATTTCATATCATTTTAATCTCTTAGCAGCTCCTGTAACAAAACCGGGGTAGTTGCAGGTGGTAGATCCTCCTGCAGGCATCGACAAAAACGATCTCGCACAAACATCTGTCACATTCCTTCTGTTGCCACTGGGATGTCTGACACCTTAAAAGTGGCAGTCTACTCCTCGAGTCTTACTGCAGGAGGCAGAGCCAGAAATAAATTAACTCTCGAAAGTTTGTTTTGAGTTTTAGACCATAGAGCACAAATGCCAATTTTCTTTATTGAAATAAGTTAATAAAATGGAAAATATTTTTTTTCTTTTAACACACACATCACAGTCCATCCATAAAAATGCTGTCATGTCCTAGCATGGCGCGGCACGCACTGCTTATTGCTGATGACAAGACGCTCACGGGGTCACCAAACGAGGGGCTGGCGAGCCGCGTTCCTTCACCTGGAAGCCAGGCCGTCTACAGGCAGCGGGGCCGCCACCTTAGGTACCGGCCCACTCACGCCCAGGCCGTGCGATGGCAGCTTCAGCTGCTGCTGAGGAGGTGGAGGCGGCGGGGTTGAGGGCAGTGTCACCACCGTGCCGGGCGTTAAAGTCCTACCGCTGGCCGCGGTCTGCGACTCCGCCAAAGTCCGGGCGTTGAGCAGCAGGGGGGCACTGCCCGGCCGGGCGGGCGCGTGCGCAAGCACCACCGGCACCGCCTGGATGCCGTTGAGGTGCGGCGACTTTGCGAGGCCACCCGTAGGCACCGCGGCAGCGCAGAGCACTGGCTGGTCGTGCGCAGCGGAGGTGACGATGGTAGCGACACTGGTGACGCTGGTGGAGAGGGACGGCGGCATGGAGGGTCTCGAGAGCCGATGGCCAACCAGCTCGATCATGGTACCCACGGCGGTGCCGGGTGGAACAGGGAGCTTGCACATTCCTACAAGAGAGCGCGGACGCACAAAAACAAAGAACAAACGTATAGCCTTAACAGACCTTCGAGGCAAGTGCTGTTAGCGAGCACCTCAGAAAGGTTGGTACGGCACACCAGGGGGTGGGGTGGCCAGCACCACGCCCGACCACCTTTGTCTCCTAGAGACGATGTTTACACACCAGGTATTTATTTGAGGCCGAATTTACCTCAGCCGTGAACGGTAAAACACTCAGGCGCATTTCCATACAAAACAAAAGTGGGATTCGTTGTCCATAAAGCGTGTACACGGCTATCCTTCCTATACACTTTCCAAACCACTGTTTATTGGACAAACGCCACTTGTCTTTGAGCGAGTGAATGGAAACCTGGCGGAGAGGCTCACCTCGAGGCTGAAGGATCCCGTTGACCTGCGTGGGGGGGGGCAGGACGACGCCGCCCTCCACCTCCTTGGGGGAGCGGCCACGCACCCCCCCCACCGCAGCCACAACCGCTCGCGCCACCGCTGCCACAGGCGGGGGGGCCACAGACTCCGCACCCCCCAGCACGGCCGACACAGCGAACTGTGCGCTCTCCGAGTCCAGAGTCCGCGACGACTGTGTGAAGCGGGCAGGAGTAGCAGGCAGTGGAGGAGCGTTAGGATAATCATGTGGAAATCTAGTGGTACACGGTGCGGGCTCGTACGACCTCAGTGGTATAGTCTTGTGCAACGGCGACCGTACAGGTCGTGTGCGTGTAACAGCAGTAGTTGTGTGGTCGTGCGAGTGTCGGACGGTGGCAGTGAAGGGTAGTCTGGGGGTGAGACGGCGGCAGTGCGTGCCGATCCCCACCTGTGCGCTGCTACCCTGCACCGGACCTGACGTCTGCATCGCTTCCTGCTGCTGCCGCTGCAGCTGCACCAGGTGGTTGTGGTAGTGCTCCAGCGTGAAGCCTGCACACTCGACCGACAGTGGGAACTTGAAGGCTACTATCTACTTAGGAAACTTTATTGCAATCATTTCCAGCAATTGGCACCAGCAACATGTAAACCATAACCAACTGTGGCAAAGAAACAGAGTGAGATATCTCTTTTGTAAATCACTGCACTGTTTGCTTCACAGTGATGGGTCTAGAGGTTGTAAATGAATGTTGATTAAATTAATCTGCCGAAATGGCTCATAGGCCAATCACGCTCATTACACCATCATTCAACTTGCCACATCTTCTCACCACACCATGTCATCCAGATTCCACGCATGCTGTGACCTAATATCAGATTTTTTTCAAATGAAGAGAAATGGCTTGACATCAGACGATAGAGTTCTGTGACCTGGTTGGCTCTCGCCATCCCAGTTGCCCACTAGAGGGCGCTGCGATCAGATTGGTCCAGACTTTGGGCAACCACTGCCATTGAAGGTTGCCAGCAATGGTTGCCTAAATATACCCAGGTGGATTACAGCCATTACACCACAGAAGCACAAACATCTATGGCACAGGCTGTTCTTAGTCCAGGGGGCGAGTGGCGAAGAAGCGAGCGGAGGAGGTGCGGACCTGTGCAACGAGGCGCCAAGGTGCGTGGGCAGGCAACCGCCAGCACCGTGCCGCCCTGTGGAGGCCCCGGCAGAGGCGCGGGTGGAACTCCGCCGCACGGGGAGGCCAGGGACCGAGGCCTGAAGTGGCGCCAGCGGCAAGCACGGATCGCAGCCATCAGATCCTCCGGCATCAGGCGATCTGTGACGGAGACACCGCCACAAAAAAGACGCGTGCCTATATGAGCCTTGCAGGGCGAGTGCTGTGCATCATCATCAGACGTGGTCAATTCACCGCTGGATGAAGGCTTCCCCCAAGCCACGGCCTCTCATGATCTCGCAATGTAACGATCCACTTGCACCCACACACACAAGCCGATTTGATCGATCCATCTCCTGTCTGGTGGCGGTCCTCTTGGACGCGTACCATTCCTTGGCTGCCACTCCGTTACTGATTATGACTATTGTCCATCATTCCTGTGAGTGGTTACATGTTCTACTCAGGCAGACTTACTTATGTTAACAGTTTGAATTATTTCAACCTGCATATGCTTCATATTTATTTTGTTGTCGCTCATTGTAATTCTAAGCATGTATCTCCGCATGGTTCTTTGTGCACTAGGATATCTGATTGTACTGCCATTATCACTCGCACACCAGCACGCGAAAATTCACAAGCATACTTAGGATCATCTATCATTGTACAATGATACCTTGATATACGTATATTCCATAAACGAAGTTTTAGCATAACGAACGTTGGATTTATTATCATTACTTAACACAGAAAGCTAAAAATTTATAATTAAAAAAAACCCGAAAATGAATACATTTGTAGATCTACAATACCATATAAATAATATAATTATATAAGATATGGATTTTTGAGAAGGTTTGTTTACATTAATCTCGGCCAATCATCGCACTCCCCACAACTCCAAAATCCCTTCGTCCACTGAAGCATGTAAGGAGCTATGGTGTTGTGTGGGCAATGCAACCTTACGACAGCACCAAAGACGACACTGGCAAGTGAATATATGTTACAGTACACGGTTTCTTTTGCGTCGTTTTTTTTATTGTAACTGTACAGTATAAAATATATTATGTTCAATATAAATGATCTTTGTTGACAATATTAATGGTTAGTTAAGAAGTGTTTATAGTAAAAAAATAAGTTATGAAGGCTGGGAATGCATCCTCAGAGTACTAATGTGCCAAGTTATTAAATATCCGAAGTCTCCATTTGTGAATGAAGCTCCAAGAACGATCGCGATACTACTGTATTACCTGTTGACAGACTGACCAGAGAGACCCCCTGTTCAAACAGGGTGGGCGCACACAAGGGCCTTGCACAGGAAACACACAATAGCCTCACAGAGGAAGCACAGACCTTAAAAGTAAGCACACATCTCTACAAACGACAGCCACATAAGGGAAGCACCTCCAATTAGCACGGTTGACTACGTTTCGTGCAAAAGACGTTCAACATACATACCGCAGGAAGTGGGATGGAGGCTGGTGGTCGCTGGGGCCCGTCTTGCGGGTGATGATGAAGAGGCGGCAGCATGGGGGGGAGAGGAGGCTCCGTTATCGTCTCCTAGGGGGCTCCCACACCCTGGCAGGTCGTCGGGGCTCAGCTGCTGCAGCAGCTTGTCCAGCGGCGTGTGTAAGCGGTCGAGCAGCATTCTACGTAAGGTGGTAAGAGGGAAGATGAGAAGTTTAAGTTTATTTAGATTTGCTACATGGATAATCCCAATTAACCAGTTTCCGCTTATTTTATATGGGAAAAACATGTTGCGTAAGCATAGCAACAACAAAACAAACAAACATCAACATTGCAGAGAACGAGTAAAGCAGGGTCCATAAAGAATATTGCACAACGGACAAAGGAGGTGTTTAACAGTTGTCAATACAACAAATAAAAAACTGTGAAGATTTTAGAGCAAGAGGTGTCATAACAATGTTGGGTTCAGGTGCAAGTAAGCTCTGTGTGTTAAGAGATACATAAATAGGGGAAGTGAAGGGAGGAAACCAAGCTGTAAATGAGCCACAAGGGTATTCCAGAAATGCGGAAAAGCAGTGCGGAAATACTTTCTTTGTAGGAATAGAGAGACTTCTGAGGCTACGGGAGGAAGCGAGATGAATTGAGTGGTCCTTTAGGCAATTGAGGGATTTGTTTAGGATGAAGACGGTCCAGTGGGTCTCATAAGATATCTAGGTGGGACAGATGAGTTGATGTTCAGGTTGCAACAATGGGTTCAATAGGAGTTGTCAACGGCAACACAGATGGGAGGGGGGTATCATACAACAAGACGTTTTAAGGTAGGTTTAAAGAGCTAGGCGAGAGATGGTGTCACAATAATCAAATATTGACAGGATGGTGGCTTTAACAGTATTCAGACGGAGTCGTGGTGGATTGCAGCATTTCTGTATAGGAATCCAATTTAGTTTTTTTTTAATCTTGAAAGCCATATGATTAATGTGGGTCTTGAAAGATAGTATCGAGTACAGGATAATGCCGAGAGATTTAAAGTTGTAAACCTACTAAATAGGGTGCGAGTTGAGAGCCACAATGTGCATCGGTGGCAAAAATAGGTTTAGGGCAGCTGGAGCATTATATATTGGTCTTCTTAGCATGGAGGATCAGTTTTAGGGCAGTAAGTTCAAGAATTATCGAAATCCTGTTGTGCCGTTTTAACTCCTCCATAGAACTTCCAGGGTTCGATGAGGGCTATCATCAGCAAAAAGATAAATATCACAGAGTGCAGATTAGCAGATGCCTTGATTGACATACGTAACAAATGGGATTGGGCCAAGCACAGATCAAAGACACTCCCTTAGTAAGGGGGGTCTCTACTGTGAGATGTATTGATGGAGACAATTTGAAATGGGTCAGATAAGTAATTGCAAAACCAGTGGATTAAACAATATGAAAAATGTCAGCATTTTAGCCTTTGCTACATTCCAGCGTGATCCAGTGTCAAACACTTTAGACAAATCGAGAAAAAGGTTGGGACGCAGAAGAGATTCCAGACTGTTGAAGAGATATCAAGAGTAGAGTATAGCAGAGACTGCTATATAATTTTTTGAAAGATAGATTGCATAGGATGGAATAGGGCAGAGTTAGGGTTTGGAGAGGCTTGAGATAGGGCGGTAATCGTTAGGGTTGACTGAAGCGCCACCTTTATCACGGGGGGATGGATTCCTCTACAAGGGAAATGTTGAATGTGGGCTATCAGTTTGGCAATGGAGTTCCCTGCAAGGCCGGCAGGCCATCCAGCACCATCACCAGCGGAAGTTTTTCACGTGGAGAACAAGGATAGGACTTCAATATTTGAGATTAGAAGGATTTTTTAATTTTGATCAGATCAGGTCAAGAGGCAGGTGAATAGTGGTGTCACAAGGCTGGATTTCAGTATTGAAGATGTGACCTGGAGATGCAAAGTGTCAGTTAAACATTTGCAATCGCAATTTGATCAGAAAGGCAACGGCCACCGAGCAAGAATTCATATTCTTTGGCTCTTTCGGTAAAGTCACGTAGACAGGTTAAAATAAATAAATAAAGCTACACCGTTTAGATCACAACACAAGCGATCGTCAGCAGGAGGAAAAAAGAGGAGGAAAACTGCCGAAGCAGGCTGTTTTTAAAGGTTTAAAATGGACATAAACCTAGGGGCATAAACGAAGTGGATTGAAACGTTGCAGTTTTTTGTTTATTTTTATATACTTTTAACATATCTACGTGACTTTACAAAAAGACCCAATAAAAATGAAGGACTCTTTAGAAGCTTGTGTCAATTATAGGAATCTTACAGTTGTAAGGGAGGTCAGAATTGGAGATGTTGTGGAAAAAGGTTCGATGGTAAAATAATTTAAAAGAACATTTAAATATAATCTTACATAGAAAATTAAGCAGCTTGTATGTCAAATGCCAAAAATCATTGAGTGGTCAGATTATTTCCTAGAACACCCACTTTTGGAGCATTTCACATGAGGACATCAATGATTTATGAGTGATTCGTTTTTTTTTATATTCGGACACGTCGGTGACCAGATGAACTGGGATAGGAGATGGAGTAGAGGGAGCAGGAGGTGGGGGGAGAGGGGGCAGGAGGTGGGGCAGTTGGGCATAGGGTCAAGTGTCAAGCAATGCCAGGCCCCATTAGAAAATCCAGCTCATCTGGCTGCATTACGTTCAAACACGGTAGACTTGAGCAAACATGGCGGATACGATGACAGGTGGTGGTGTGCGGGGACACGGGGGGGGGGGGGTTGATGATAGACTTTTTGCATAAACGTTATCAGATTCTAATGTACTACAATTGTTCTTTCAGTATGAGGTGAAGAACCTGTTTTCTCAAAAAACAATGTGCACCATGTGTCAAGAGATAGACTGCTGGAAGGGCGGCTGTTAAGAGGGCAGTTGCTGTCACATCAGTTTCACAGCACCCACCTTCCGCCCCGGCCCACACGCCTGCGTGCCAGCCCCACGATGCGATGAGGATGGCGCAGTGAGGCCAGGTAGTATGGCGTCTGCTGGCCAGGCCCCGCGAGCCGCGGCGGTGACACCGGGAGCCTGCTCCCCTCTACTGATGCGGACACGAAAGCCCCCACCGTCGGCGAAGCAATGGCCACACCGACGCTTGAATCGGTGCGCCGTCGAGCGCCGGGCGGGAATTCCTCGCCGTCGAAGGCTCCGTCGAATTCCCATCGCCCTGCCGAGTCGGCGTCCTTCCCTCGCAAGGGTCGCGGCTGGAGGGGGGAAACAGGTGGTAAAAGTCAAAATGGTCAATACGACAGTCCGGCTTTGCCACATAGGTTTTCAAAACCAATATTTTGATGCGTCACTATTTTTGGATTAAGCCACTTAATGACCCAGTGGTGGACACTCCACCACTTGACACAGGCAAACAAATTAAATGTTCACGTTTGGATGCTTTCAAAGCACTTAACTCACAAATTATTGTTTCAGCTTACTGCTGTCGAATGAAAAACTATTCTGACAACCAAATTTAGCAATTAGATATGACGGTTCCACATAAGATACCCACAAAATTTCGCGGAGCTTGAGAAAATAAATTCTCTACACGCGAACTAACATGGAAGTCCGGAGCTTGGATTATGAGCGTCGGCAAAATCGTGCGCGTGCAATGACAAATGTGTTTGTCTCTGAACATCACTCACTGCAAGGTAGCTGCACCCAGCCGCACGGCGGAACACAAATACTGCGTCAGGGTCCATCTCCTCCTCCTCCCCCTCCGAGGCCGAAGCGCTCACCTAGAACGGGGGGAAAAAAAGAGAAACTATTTTGCGGACGCATTCTGGACGGCCCCCATATCCTGGCTGCGTAAGCACATGACGCAGGACAGGACGCTTACATTTGGCCGTTAGCGACGCTCACCCGAAAAAGGGATTACATGAATACTGTCCATTCACACTGGCTATCGACAAACCTGTGAATGCCATAGGACCGTTAACCACACTGGAGTGAGGATGCAGAGTATTTCATTTGGCTGCTGTTGCATCCTGCTGTTCGATCTGCAGCCAGCAGCTGCTTAGCAAGAAGAAAATGGCTTATTTGATCCTAAAAGCAGTTGTCAGTCTCTGGAGAACAGGGGCCATCCACTCACTGACACTCACCCTCTCCCCTACTCATACACTCTCACCCACACGCTCTTTTCTCTCTTGATCTCACCCACTCGCGCTCTTTTCCGCACTGTACGTAGCCAACCGTGCTATTCATAATCCACTCATCCACTGACTCTCCCACTTTTGCACCACTCTCTTGCTTGCTCACTCACCCCCTCACTCACCGTAGGTGGCGCCTCGTCCTCCGAGCTGGGGAAGTCATATTGGTTTGCATCCCGCACGGGGCAGGAAGGGGGGGCTGTCCCAAGACCTCGCGGGGAGCCGCGGGGCCCGACGGGCGTCCCCCCACCCACGCTCAGCGTCTTGTATTTCCTTTTCTCGTACTTCCGCTTGGGCCGTGGCCCATCAGCAAGTGGCCTCTTCCCGACCAGATCAGCGTGCAGCTGTGGCGCAAACCCACATACGCATAAATGAATGGGGACAGCAGAGATTGAAAGAGACGAGCTACCCCTATGTAAACGCTGAAGGCAGTGCGTCCCAGTTTGTGCAACCCGAGCTCGAAGGTGCATTAGTGACAAAATGGTATTAAAGTCATTGCCCTGCAACTAAGGATCGGGGGGCCATCATAGCGGCTCAGGAGATGTTGACTGCTGCGTTATAAAAGGGTCCACGCAATGCGCAGGGGAGCAGCGGTTCAATGGTAGCGGCAGTTGTCGCCTGCATTTGTGGCCTCTGACATTGCTCTGTTCTGGAGGTCATCTGCCCTAGGTGAGTTGTTCTGCAAGAAATATAATATTTAACCTTGATTCAGAGTTCATTTATGTTTGTATTCCTCATTTCAATGTTTTTTAACTCTGATATCTAAAAGAAGACAGTAGAACCTCAGAGATCGAACGCCCCAGAACTCGAACAATTCGGTGATCGAACAAAATTTTCGACCATTTTTTGCCCCGGACATCGAACAAAAATTCGGAGGTCGAACAACTGGAAAGAACCTGTTTGGGCCGAGTAGCCAGGGCGACCAAGACAAAGGCAAACGACCCAGTTTACACGTAGCTCTCGCCTAGTGCAGACCCGCACAACATCTTGATCAGTTTTTAGCAAAAAGGCCGTGAAGTGAATCACAGTTAGTGCTAGAAAAAAGGCAAAGAAAAGAAAGAACCCCAGAAGGGCAGTTACCCAACGTTTTTATGGAGGGGGACTACCCTTCCAAGCAACACTGACACCTCCTCCTCCCCTCCTCACCACCTTCCACTCAAGCAATCCACTCTCCTTACTAGAGGTAAAGAGAAATTCAATGTTAATTTATTCTATTAATTATAACTGTGTTTCTTGTTTTTTGTATGCTTTTTTGTACTGTACTGCATTTTTATATTGTAAACTTTGTGTAAAAATGGCCCATAATAGGAGCATCCTTGGGTGGGGAACCAATTAATGCTATTTCCATTCATTCTTATGGGGAAAATTGATTCGGTGTTCGAACACGGTTTTGAAACGAATTAAGTTCGATCTTCGAGGTACCACTGTATAGCAATTTTTATTCTACCACATAAGGCCCACTGAGCTATATAGCTCTTTTTCATAAGCGACCTGGCCACAAATGATCACTGAAGTGGCTCATTGTGTGGAAATAACAGCACAAAGACAATGCACTATCAGAGTAATGAGAGCTTGGGGTCAGCAGCTACATCATGGGACCTCCTTTGCAAGTATGAAAATATAAGAATAGGTTTCCCCTTTTTTCTGGTAACTAAACAGGTGTTAAGATGTTAAAACACCAAACTTAAACCTTTTGCAAGGAATCATGTCTGCATTAACCACAAATACTTGTGGCAAAATACAAACAAAAAACATGCTCTGACAGTATATGCATTGTATGTGTGGTTAATGCAGACATGATTCCTTGCAAAAGGTTTAAGTTTGGCGTTTAATTATCTTAACACCTGTTTTGTTTCCAGAAAAAAGGGGAAAACCTATTCTTATATGTTGATAATGGCAAAGGAGGACCCATGGATCCATTTACTTAATTAACGTATTTAATTTTATTTTTGTTTTGTCATATTTATAACACACGTCAGGCTTGCAACTCATGCTAATCTGGTCTCGAGTGCTTACCTGGTTATAAACTCTTCATGGATATATCCACAAATGTTTTCTTTAAGCATTCAACTCCCCACGTCCACATACCCATGTGCATCCGGCCAGTGTGACTGGCGACTCACCTCCATGAAGGGGCATTGGGATGGGGGTGGAGTGTGTGAGGGGAGGCACTCACCCGGTTGTTGAGGAGCTCCGTGTGCCGGTACTGGCTGCCGTTGTAGAGCAGCATGGGCCCAGTGTACACGGGTTTGGCTGCTGGCGTCTGGGCCAGCAGTTCGCCCAGAATGGCGCCGTCGTAATCGCCGGCCGTGTTCCTGCATCACGGACATCGCCGTCACGCAAATGCCGCACAGTCGTGCGTTTGTGTGCAGCCTGATGATGGAAACACCGTGAAATTGCAAGGTGTTGTGATTGTGAATTACATCCCAGGTCTTCAATGTGGCCAAGTGGCTCGCAGGTCAAAGGTACCGAGCCAGCACCGCCGAAATCCCTAAATTGCTATTTGATGGTCTCAGTGCAGCCGCCAATGAGAAAAAACTACGTCATTTAATGAGTTCCTACACTTAAATTTGGCTTCTTTTATCCTCTGGGAGTGAAAAAAACAGTTTGAACATCACGTGATGGATATTACTCTCAGTGGTCTTCTTCCTCTTTAATATGGCTGATGTAGATGCAGAGCCACAACCACTATTTCACTAGTAGATTTCAGCAGGCAGCTCTGATATTCACTTCCAGTCTATGTAGGCTACACGGGAAATATTTTTCTGTGCCGCGGTCTTCTTGATTTACCAACCAAAATGGGATTGTGTTGGCTAAATTTTAGGTAAATCCTGAACAGTGTGATGTCCTCCCCACCCCCACGCGTGCAGTTACTACTAAAGTGTCAGTAGAGACTATAGTCAGTAGATACTACTGTAGACTTGGTATATACTACTGTAGAGTTGGTAGATACTACTGTAGTCAGTAGATACTACTGTAGCGTCAGTAGTTACGACTGTAGAGTCAGTGGATACTACTGTAGTGTCAGTAGATACTACTGTAGCGTCAGTAGATACTACTGTAGTGTCAGTAGATACTACTGTAGTGTCAGTAAATACTACTGTAGCGTCAGTAGTTACGACTGTAGAGTCAGCAGATACTACTGTAGAGTCAGCAGATACTACTGTAGAGTCAGCAAATACTACTGTAGAGTCAGTAGATACTACTGTAGAGTCAGTAGATACTACTGTAGAGCCAGTAGATACTACTGTAGAGTCAGTAGATACTACTGTAGAGTCAGTAGATACTACTGTAGTCAGTAGATACTACTGTAGTCAGTAGATACTACTGTAGAGTATGTAGATACTACTGTAGAGTATGTAGATACTACTGTAGAGTCAGCAAAATACTACTGTAGAGTCAGTAAATACTACTATAGAGCCAGTAGATACTACTGTAGAGTCAGTAGATACTACTGTAGTCAGTATATACTACTGTAGACAGTATATACTACTGTAGAGTCTGTAGATACTACTGTAGAGTCTGTTGATACTACTGTGGAGTCTGTTGATACTACAGTGGAGTCTGTAGATACTACTGTAGAGTCAGTAGAAACTACTGTAGAGTCAGGAGATACTGCTTTAGAGTCAGTGAAAACTGCTGTAGAGTCAGTAGTTGCTACTGTAGAGTCTGTAGATACTACTGTAGATTCGGTAGCTAACTACTGTAGAGTCAGTAGATACTATTGACTATTGTATGTAGGGTGTGGAGATACACATGCCTACAAAATAAAAATTAGCTGGAGGGGGTAAAAAGATTTTTGGGAGGGGGGGGGGGTCGACAATTGGAAACCTTTTAGATCAACATTTTACCCTCCACTTTCTATTACTTTTTGATTCAGGACTACTGCAAGCTTCTTATAATTTTGTTGACGGACAAATGGACAAACGGAATGCCGGGCTTTCACAATAGCTTAGTATTTGTGTATGTATATGTTATGTTTTTAAGAGAAGACAAGTTTTGAAATATATATTTTCCCCCGGGCAAGCCAGGTACTTCCTGCTAGTTTTTTTTTATAAAATTCTCCTGCTTGCACACCTTACTATATATAATTGCAATCACAGTTTTACTTAGGAGCCTCATTTCTAACACTTGTAGAGTGGAGTAGGCACATGATTAGTAGTCACAGCCATAGCAATGAGAGGTATTACTCAACGTAGTGTGCTGGGCACAAATCTATTTTCCGGTTGAAATTAATTAAACCCTGCGTGTGCACATGGAAAAACTAACAAGCAGCCTGCTCCACTGCAAGGTGTGCTAGTGAGATAAACTCCAAGCGAGGAGCTTACGACGTGGACCCACCTCTTGTCAACGATGTCCAGGGTAAGATGGAGCAACTCGCGCTTATTGCGCTCGCGTCGCCGGATCATCTCCAAGATGGTGATGGCACGGCTCAGGTCTCGCCGCAGCTTTAGCATCTTCTCATATGACGCCTCATCATTCTTACGGTTCTGCAGGGGAAAAACACAAGCCCGCACGAAGATCGCTCAACCGCACACTCGCCAACCCCATCGATTTAGGTGGCAGCCTGCCAGTTGGACAGAGAACGTAGCCATCCACCGTGAGTTGATTGAAATTCCAACACTCAACATTACATCACAACAGCTAAAAGTTTTAGACACATTACTGCCAGACATTTCTGTGTGTGCAGCAAACTGGTTAACGTTCTTGTACTATGCAATTACCGGTCCTACAAAACAAACAACTTTATCGAGCTTAGTCTGTGTGTGTATGGTAACGAGTACATGTCTGTATGCGTGTGTGCACCTGGTCAAGGCTTATGAAGGCAACAACAGCCCAAGGCTCTGGGCTGTTCTTTGTGCATGCTTTTGGATTCCCTGACTATGCTCGCAAATATTAAGGGCTACAAGATGGTGGGCAGGCCTGGGTAAAGGTACGTGGCCAGGAGTTGGAGCCATTCCCTGTTCACCTTGGGGTGCGACAGGGATGTTTCTCTGGCTCCCACATTATTTAACATCATCTTTGCACAAGTAGTCTGAAAAGCTTTCCATGGCTGTACCGGAGGAATTTCCATCTGGTACAGATACAACGGGAGGCTGATCGATATCCAGGTGCGGTCGAGGGATGGCTCTCTATTGGTCAACAATGTTACGTATCCTGATGATCTGGTTATTGCTGCTCACTTAGAGGAGGAGTTTGAGGCAATGATGGTGAACCTGGAGTGTGATACGAAGAGGTGGGGTCTTACCATCAGCCCCACCAAAATTAAGCACCTGCCTGGGTATTTTGTGCCATCAAACACTCCACCCCCTCAACTCTCCACTGGTGATTGAGCAATTGGAGACAGTGGAGGCTTTTTCCAAACCTGGACAGTGTGCTTATGACCAGCTCCGGTTTGATGGCAGAGGTTTCACGCCGAATCAGTTGGGCAGCATTATCTTTTCATCGGCTGCATAATGCTGTGTGGAAGCTAACTGGTCTGTCGCTCCACACCACTTCGGGTCTTCTCGGCCACAGCCAAGCCCTCCCTTCTCTATGCATGTGAAACGTGGACCCCTCTCATGAAACACCTGTGCCGGTTAGAAACATTCAGGCTGGCATGTCTACGATCAATCCTGGGTTTAACCAGGCTGGATTTTGTGAGGAGCTCACAAATCCTTGAAAGGTCTGGACACATTCCCATTAAAGAGTTCCTCCGGCAGGCAAGGCTGCATTGGCTGGGTCATGTAGCCCGTATGCCCAGCCACTGCATGCCCAAGTAGCTTCTGTTTGGCTGGATAGAGGGGGCTAAATGGGTACTACACAGGCTGGAGAAGAGATGGACTGATGGAGTACAGGAGGATGTGTAGCTGGATTAGGAGGCTCATGAAAGACGCTACTGGGCAGTTGGAGGCAGGCACCCTCTGAGAACAGTGGAGGGCAAAGGAGCGATGCTCGCAACAAGTGGAATGCTAGGCAGCTAAAACGTAGCAAGTTGGCACAGTAGGGGCACACGTAGTGCATCTGCCAGTCATCTGTCAGTAAACATATGGCACCTGGATCTGTTCATAAATCTCCTGCCATTAAGCCTCCCAACACTTCACGGGGCCTCAAGGCACACTTAGCCTGGCACAAGGGCCGTGGTGACATCACCGTCACTTAGTGAACAGCGGTTGTTGTGCATTTATATTCGCGTGTGTGCGGTGGTCGCCCTAGTGCTCACCTTTCTCGTTTGCATCTTCTCTGTGCGTCGGCGGAAGGCGATGTAGGGGTTGTTTGAGGAGGATCCACCATCACGCCGCTCCTGTTTTATGGTCGGGATGAGAGAGTCGGCGGAGCTCTTCCTCCTCTTCTTCAGCCAGTATTCAAACACCTCCCGGATGAGGCTGTCCTCCCCGGGAAGCAGCAGCTGAGCCTCAGGGAGCGTGAGGAGCTGGAGCAAGAAACCAAGGAGGACGAATGAGAGAGGAAGAGGAGCAGCATCAAAGAACAACTCAAGGTTTTTCAAATTACTGAATGCAATAAGTGCTGTCTAGTCAATTCAAAGTTCGTTAGAAAAGGTTTGGACGCCAAATGTATGCAAGCTTTTCAAAAATATTATTCATCCATTATGTTAACAAACATCTCTCGGCCATGGATGTTATTTGACCATACTGCACTACAGTCAACGTGGGTTAGTGAAGGGGCAAGGACTGGTGAACATATCCCTCACGACTGATGTTGGGTAAACAAGCAGAGAAATAATGTTTAGACAAGAGTAATGAGAAGCAGTGGCCACTGGGTGTCGCTATTTCTCCAGATGAAGCCAATAAGTTTGTTCATGGCACTGTTGCTTTGTGTGACCCAGGAATGGTCACCGACAAAATACGAAACCATTGAAACATGGGGATTCACAATGGAGATGCCTATCAGTTTCAATTGCTTCTGTGTTCCAATACACATTTTTCTCATCTCGCGATGAAAATCTATCTATAACACCAAGCTCCAGGAATTTTATAGAAAAAAAATAATACAGGCATCAGGCTTAAAGAGTGTTCTTTCTACAAGAAATCAATGTAACGAGCAATTTGAAGTGAGACCCATTTGTTTGCAAAACGAGCAAGACATTCGTCCCATGGCAGCAGGGGGTGCACTGTGGGCCGCAGCTGTTAACCAGCTGTGTTGTGCTCCAAGAAGCACGTGTTTCTGGTGGTTGCGGGAGGGTGCCTCGTGGTGGCATTGAAATGGGTGGGGTGCGGGGAGTGTAAAGGTTTGGGCACGGCGCTGCTAACCCGGCGGACCAGAGTTCGATTCCCGCTTATTGGTAACAGTCACAATTATTTGAACAGATCCTGGGCCTCCTCTAGATCGACTCAGCCTTAAACGAGTACCTGATTCGGTGTGTAAACATCGCCACACGCAAGACAAAGGCGTGTGGTGCTGGGCACGCACCCATGTGCCATATCAGCCTTCATTAGGCGCTAACAGCACTTGCCCCAAAAGCAATCTCCAATTTCAGATTAAACACTGCCCCCCTCTGCTGTGAAGGCTGTAGTGCACGAAATGTTAACAGACTGCATATCTTTTTATCCCTCGCGTATGGAAATAACATCGAAGTACACGTCTATGCCAAGATTAGTCAGAAAAAAATGTCAGGTAAATACTTCAATGCCATCATTGAATTTTCAGTTTGGCGTGGTTCACTGTTATCAGGTGGTTTTATTGGCAAGTGTAAAGTTATTCTTTGGGTCTTTCGGTAAAGCCACGTAGATAGAAAGAAAAAATATCACGACGTTTCAATCACAACACAAGCAATCGTCATCAGGTGAAAAAAGAGGGGATTAACATGTCAATCTGTTAATGTAAGATTAGGATGTCACTGTAAGAAAACCAGGTACCACCGAAGCTGTGGAGGTAGCTATTGTATTGAGAGAGATTAACATGTCAACGGTGGCTGTTAGTGAGACATTTAGCCTGTTAATGTAAAGATATTTAACAAGGTAATGTAACATCATGGGACCTCCTTTGCCAGTAACAAAATATACTATTATGGTTTTTCCCCTTTTTCTGGCAACAAAACTGATTCTTTGTAAAAGGTGTCAGTTTTGTTGCCAGAAAAAAGGGGAAAAACCCTATTGATATATTTTGGTACTGGCAAAGGAGGTCCCATGATGTAGCTGCTCACCCCGAGCTCTCGTTACTCTGATAATGCGTTGTCTTTGAACTGTGCGCCTTTTGGCGTCATCTGGTCGAACACCATATGAGACAAGGCTCTAAAGAAAGCTGTCTCTGGTGTGGACCAATCAGTTTCAAGCACAATGCATAAATGATCAGAGTATTGTTTTTTGTTTGCATTTGACTGCAAGTGTTGTGGTTAATGTAAACATGATTCCGTGCAAAAGGTGTCAGTTTTGTTGCCAGAAAAAAGGGGAAAAACCCTATTAGTAAGGTAATGTAACTCAGAGAGTCGGAAATAACTGCTAACATCGGCAGGTAGGATCTAATCATCACAGCCAGTTATGACTTAAACTGTTTAATAATGTTCTTCCAATGATTGCTCACGTTGTACCCATCTTCTCGGTTGAAATTGTGTCTGTTTACAAATCTGGATGGCTTCATGAACGAATCTTTGTTGATAGCCAGTGGGTTTGCAGAGTACCTTCGTCTTGGAAAAATCTATTTCGTGTGTGCCCACAGCATTAAAACAATGATCAGCCACAGCCGAGGTATTGGTACTACCGTCTTTCAGATCTGCCTTGTGTTTTTTCTGGATTTAAAAATCAGTTTTTATTTCAAGCCCAAAATCTACATCTACTTTATAAAAATAGGCTTGTAGTCTCAGTGGGTTCTAACATGGTCAGAAGTATTTACTTACACGAAATATGTAACCATTCCAAAGTCTCCCAACGATCAAATTCTCCCAACGATCAAATGGCAATAAATGCCAGCTGCTAGTGAGGACACGATTCATCCCCCCCCCCCTCCAGAAGAGGGACTAATTATTATCACTTGAACAGTCGTGATATAATTAATATTTTATTTATCTTCGGTACTATTTTCCAAATTTATTTTGTATTGCTTCTCTATTGTTCGGTCTCTTTCTATAGCGTGCTGATCTATTAACCTAAATGTAACGTGAGCATTTCATTTGCATAAACTGTGCTCGACTTGAAAACATTGCTCCCCATTAGACACGAGCTATATTGTCCCATGCTTTGTCTGCCCTTGTTCCGTTGCATGCAGTTGGTGCAATGTGTTTGCAACACTGTCTGACCTAATGGCTTATCCTTGTATAGTGTTATTTCTTACTATTGTTGTGTTCTTTCTCTTTGGCTCTGCACCAGGTCTGCTTGGCTGCCAGCCTCCTGACCCTCTCACATCCTATGCCTCCCGACCCCTGTGGATCTACTTGGTCGCGTGCAGAATCTACCGAGCCTCTATCGCTGCACCCTGGTAGGACTGTGGTTCTCTCAGGGCCCTGTTGCTACTCTATCGCAACACAGGAGCTCTCCTGGGACCTTTCCTCCATAAAATAATCCGGCAATATTTTTCCCGTGGCCTCGTTGCTATGGAAACTCCCGTGGGACCTTCCCCCGTGTTATCGTGGCACAGGGAACCTCCTGGGACTTTCCTCCTAATGATTTGCAGTGTAGGGTCCGTCAGGGACGTACCGTTATGTCTGGTGTGGCAGCGTGGATTGTGGTTGATGGTGCTGTGTGGGCGGTACTGCATGGCTGGCACTGTGTATGGTACCGAGGGTGGTACCGTGGGTAGTATTGTTTGCATGGTAGCACAGCCTAGTGCGTTTACCGTGAGTTGCCGGTCTGAATTCAGTGGCCACCCTGATTAATACTGCAGATTGAAATAATCGTAACGATAAGCATTGTCCGCTTCACAGGGGACGTTAAAGATACCCTGATGTCATTTGGAAGAGTAGGCCATTGTGTACGGTGTGCCTAAATTTTCAAATTAACAGCAAATTACTCAATTGGAATTATAATTAGCAATCATTGGTGCCTTCCCACCCTACTGGTAGACTAAGAGACAATTCTAGTCTCTTGAGTTCTCACCTGGTTAAACAAAAAACTTAAACGAAGCGTGTTTGGGTTATATAATGGGTTTAGGAGCTGTGTAAACAAAGACTGAGCTGGGTTACTCAACTTCTGAAAGTAAAACAAAAGAAATAAAGTACAGTGATGAAGCAAAAAAAATCAGAGCAAAAACAACTGTCACACGAGAAACTTTAAAATAATGCAAAAATATAAATCAATGGCAAATGATACATTTTGCATAGCACAAGTTGGTTCGGGCAGATTATGTTTAGCCTGATTATAGTATAACTAGCTTTTTTCCCGTACAAGGACGGGTGTATTTCAGTAAATCTGAAACTTGCAAGCGAAAATCAGACCGCGACGTGATATTCAATCCATCGATTAGTGTGCAACTTGTAAGGCCGCGGTGACAGACTCATTTCATTTAACGGTTATAATCCCTTGTTCATCATGACGTCCTTTTTACTTGTATGTCTCAATAGCGAGATGGAGATCGTGTGACATGAGGGTTCTGCCTTTGTAGTAAGGGTTGTAAGTTGACGTTGAGGAGGGTGGAGGAGGTGCCCCCGCCTACCCCCATGTCGAGTGACGTCAAGAGCTCATGATTGGGTCTAATTAGAAGATGTCACCTGCGCATGACTATTAATGAGGGGGGCTGGTCGACGTGGAGTGGCGTCACGCATGTTACACACTGAAATTCTTGGGTAAATATAGTGGTCAAATAACATTAGAAGATATAGAAACATTAAAACAGACATATGATGGCCATTTTACTAAATATGCAAACAGACAAGGATTTTTAGGGTGATGCTGTGGATAATAGCAATAATTATAATAATTGACATTTGTAAGGGGCATTTCATCTGTAGATCCCAATGTGCCCCTCTAGGAAGCCTCATAGTGGTACTGCATGGGTGATACCTGCTGGCCGCATCCCTTCTCGAGTCGGTCCATCATCTCCTCAAACTGCATCAGGTCGATGTCCACCTTCCGCCGCAGCTTGTTTACAAATGTCTCGTCCTCCGAGTCCAGGTCATAGTCGGGATGCTCGACCTCCAGGCTCAGCGCTAGGGGGGCAGCAGCGAGAATGTCTCACTCGATGTTCACACTTAAGTCGTTAAGCCGCATAGCGAAAAAAATAATAGGTGCGTTAAAACGCTTGAACACTCACCATTTAATGTTTCGTCATATCGGGTGGAGGGTTTTATGACAGATTTCGCCAGATCATTGTTTCCTAATCCAAAAATAGACTACGAATTAATTCATTTAAATTTGCAACAAAAGCTTCCCTTGGAAATGGAACTTGTAGTCTCCTTACTCTTTTGGAAAAAAATTCCCCCCTATTCTCCAGGAGATTACCAACTCAATTTAAAGCTTTCGTGACTGCAGGGATTCATCTTCTTGGTTCTTTCGGTAAAGTCACGTAGTAGGGAAGTAATAAAATAATAAAAATAAAACATAATAAAACAATTCTCACGACGTTTCGGCCACAACGCAAGCAGCCGTCCTCAGGTGAAGAACATGTCTGTCGATAAGACAGCGTCTGAATGACACGTCCTGGGCTTGGAGCATCTATTTAAGCTGGGAGGGAGGAGGAAGAGCGCCTTGACAAAAGAATTTGCATATGAAGAGGAATTTAACATATTTATGGGAAATGCAGGAATGCGAATAGTGCATTCCTGCATTTCCCATAAATATGCTAAATTCCTCTTCATATGCAAATTCTTTTGTCAAGGCGCTCTTCCTCCTCCCTCCCAGCTTAAATAGACGCTCCAAGCCTCGGACGTGTCATTCAGACTCTGTCTTATCGACAGACATGTTCTTCACCTGAGGACGGCTGCTTGCATTGTGACCGAAACGTCGTGAGAATTGCTTTATTATGTTTTATTTTTATTATGTTATTACTTCCCTACTACGTGACTTTACCGAAAGAACCAAGAAGATTACCAACTCACTTGAAGAAAGGATGGACGTTCCCTTCTCCCTCTTGAACAGGGCCCATTTGGTCAGGATGGTGGTTCTACCCAAGTTCCTATACCACTTATGCAGGGTTTAGACCCGTATCCTGAAGGCCTTTTTCAAGACACTCCATTCCCACATTGCCTCCTTAATTTGGAATCAAAACTGGGCACAAATCGACTATCATTCCCTCACTCTGCATAGGAATGGGAGGGGGGGGGCTTGCACTTACAAACTTCCTGAAATACCATCACCCTTCAGAAGATTTGATAGTGGATAAACCCGTTAAAAAGGGGAACAGAAAACGCATGGGAAGAGGACTCCGTTAAAACCGTCGCCATTATCTGGCATCACCTTTACCCCTACGAGGGATAAAGCCCAAAACTTTGAACCCCTATGGATGATCTCCAGCACTTACGCCCATGCAGACAATCCCCGTTGTGGGGCAACCCTTTTTTGAAACCGGGAGGCCTGGTGTTCTGTTGGCTCAGCTGGAAAGTGACTGGCCTGAAAAAGGTGGGTGATCTCTTAAACAAGGCAGGGTGAAGACAGTTGAGCAATTGTGTGCGCACCATGATATCCCATGCTCGCATGTCTTTAGATTCCTTCAGATCCGGGATGCAATAACTCAAGCCTCAAAGACCTGGTAATTTCCCCAACCAATTTTGGACTGGCTGGGGAAATACAAGGGAAGATATAAACTGCAGTGGCATACCACCTGATTGATGGAGAGGGATCACGGGTAAGACCCAAAACTAGAAAGCTCTCGGAATGGTTTGCGGGATAAGACATTCCTATTAGGAAGTGGACTCAGATATGGCGGGCCCCAGTTACAGGCCCCAAGTCACTGTCAGTGAAACTCATCCAATTAAAGTTAATCTACAGGACCTACATGACGAACAACAGGAGAGCTAAATTCAATAACTGCTCCCAAGACTGCCCGAGATGCCCTCCGGGGCACATTGCAAACAGTCGCACGCCTTTTGGACATGCTCTGATATCTCAGTTTCCAGTTTCATTTATTAGGTATAACCCTGTGAGCCATGCGGCTCTTCAGCATTTTACCAGGATATTACAGACTACTTCAACCGTATTTGCAACATGGGGGTAAGCCTTTCAGTTGACTCAACCCTACTGGGCCCTCAGACCAAAAGGATTAACAAGTTACTATAACACCCTACTCCAAAACCTCTAAAGTGCCGAGAAAAACTATTCTACCGAACTGGACAGACCGTGAACTGCCCTTTGTGGACTGTGGAATAGGACTCTCCTCTTCCTGGTGGGTATGAAACATCTGAGCCATAAGTTAAAAGGGAAGGAGAGGGAATGTGGCCACATGGTCCCCATTTTGCTTAACCCACCATGAGTAACCATGGAATTGGGGGCCGGGGAGTCCGGATGGACTCCGGACACTACGCCACCCTCATCTTGACATAAGTGATTGTTGCTCCTGGAAATAAAAAAACTCAGACGTCGCATTTATGTTATTATATCTGTCTTGTTTGGTGACATTGCCTCAACCCCTTCCATGCCCTTTTTCCCCAATTCCTCCCCTTCAAGTACTCGGTCCCCAATTTTTACCCTGCCATGGTCGGGCGGCAAGTCTGAGAGCTCCCGTCCGTTCCCCTATCATGGTGGAGAAATTCGTTATGCGAACCGTGCATCTGTTAAATGCCGTCTCACCCTTTCTCTGCTACTCCACCTGCACCATTGGATTTTGAACACCAATAACAAAAAATGTCTTACAAAAAAATAATGCATTCTAGGAGTGAACTGGAACACCACATTGTGATATTGTTCATATGGCATTCGCCAACTTGGTTGTATATGAACCCAAATAACTTTAATAAAATTAAACTTATTTTTTTCCAGATAGGTGGGACCCTCTCCCTCCACACCCTGCCCCTCCTCCGCATTGCAAGGGAGGGGGCGGGGCAGGGAAATACGCACTTTAAAACCCGAATTTCCCATGACCAAGTTCCCATACAAGACGAACAGCTGGTGCGATTTCCGCCAGCCCACCATTCTCGAGAGAAATAATTTCAACACTCTCGCCACATCCAAAGTGTGAAACACTCCATCCAAAGTGATTCTCGTTCTGCGAGCTTGAGCTTGATCATACGTCTCAGCAAGCACAGGATATCTTGTGATGTGGAAAGTGTCGCTCAACAACTATGAAAACCAGATTGAATGTATATAACATTTATTTATTTATTTGATGGTCACTGACACGCTCTGGCTAGATAAATAAGCACCTGTATCAGAGTCTAGTTAGAGATGGGGAAAAATGCCTATTTCCCCCTCCAAACCCCATCAGGCATAACTGAGACCGCAACCGAAAGGACAGCTCTCCCAAAGCTACCATTCTGCGTGTTGAATGTCCACACAATTATGGCTGGTGAAGGTATGGGGCGAGCTCCACAAACCGCTGCCCTACAGATGTCCTTCAAACGAACTCCTGGCCCTATCAGCCCAAAACACTGCCAAGGCCAGTGTCAAATGAGATTTACACCTCCGTTTGCTTGAGCGTTTTCCCTGTACACTTTCAGAATACTCTCCCGAAGGAGGAGGGGCAATGGGGATATTTCCCCCTAGGCAATGAGTACTTGTAATCAAATTTATATATGATGCAACTTTAACACGTGAGCTAAGTCAACGTGCTGGGGACTAGAATGGGTTGTAATGTTCAAAGTAGAAGCGTGTTGGTGGCCAATGTATGGATACATCCATTCAAATCCCTTGCAAAGCAGTGCAACCCTTTATGTTAGAGAACAGCCCACGACAGCGGATATCACATTGCTACCCGAGACAGCCACAGCATAACCAGAAAAAACTTTTACCAATGGTGTGAGAGCTCAGCTGGAGCGAAAACCAAAAGACACTGCAGCCATGGAAGAGCGGATCTGCATCCTGCACCACATGTCGAGCGCTCCGCACGAGGCTTACGCTGTAGGTGGATGAAGGTCTTGGGCCGCTTGAAATCGCCCTTGTAGAGGCCGTCGTAGTACGCCACGTTACTCTGCGCCTCTGGCACGGGGATTACCATGTGCTCAGGCTTCTCCCCATACACCTGCTGCGCCGAGATGGCGCGTTGCAAGTGGTGTTCCTGCATGGGGTGGAACCAGAGGGAGGGGAAGATGGAAGCACGGGGAACGTCAGCACTGGAGTGGACGGGTGAGGGGTAACACTGACATGCAGCGATACACCAAAACTTTGCCCATCACGGGTTTTCTCATCGCATATTTGAAGATTCCCACCAAATGCATTTAGATATAGATCACGGCGTTTCAATAGCAACACAAGCCATCGTCTTCAGGTGAAACAACACAGCAGGCGGACTGCTGAGGCAGGAGAAAATGTAGCCAGTGCGCCACCGCAACCAGAGGCCACATACGCTTGTGGTGGGCACAACCCAAGGGCAAGTGGGCTAGGGATGGAATTTTCAAGTAAAAGATCAAAGAGCTAGCAAACATCGGCCAATCCGAGGGGGGGAGGAAGGGGGAGGGACCCCCGCAACGGGCACGAGGGTGGGGGTGAAATTTACAGAGGGAACAAGGTGTAAATTTCACAGACACGGAGACACAGACAGACACACAATTAGAGAGATAACACACAGACACAGAGAGGGACACACATGTTCTTTCTCTACTTGTGTATCCGTCTGTCTCAGTGTCTGTGTTTTGTCTCTCTCTCAAATTTAGCATTCTTTGGAAGAACGTTAATTAACCAGGTAGGATGTTGACTGTTGTGTTAGCCGACTCTCTGGGTTGTATTGCATTCTCTTTCTAAGTTTGCTATGTTTGTTTTCTCATTCATTCGTACCTGATGATGGTTGCTTGTGTTGCAATCGAAACGTCGTATTCTATTATTACATTTATTTTCTTTCTACGTAACTTTACCGAAAGAACCAAAGAGTTTCAGGAGATTCAGCACAGATTTTCTTACGAGACTATTCCTTGCACAGCAATCCCTCGCCAACCACGGAATTAATGTACACACGGTTTACTACCTGTATACAAATTTAGCAAAACGACCTGGAAATTTTAAGTATCCACGGGTAAGCCCGGGTCCTCAACATGCATTTACAAATTTCACAAGGCCACGGTTCTCCTCCGTACCACCCGTGGTGCTGCGTTGTAGCTTATCAGCTGTCTATATGTTTTGTTGATTCTTGCAGCGCATAGACCGCGTCGCAACGCAAATGCATATTTTGATTCTATTTGTTGGTAATTCATATACATTTTCCCCTTATTCATGGACCTGAAAAATACAGCGAGTGGTGAAGGTAAGAAAAAAGCAGAGAAAGCAAAACAAGTGACAGGTTTGATAAGTTTGTACTTGGCAAGGGTTGCATCTGTGGGTAGTCTTTGGGGTCAATGAGTCTACCCTCAACACGAAAGGTATGTAAAGTAAATTTTATGTTAATTTATGTTTCAGTATGTTATTGTGTAATGTACTGCATATTATTGGCGTTTAGTTAACAGGCAACTGAGTTGAGCTATGACGAGTCTGACCACGGCCGTGGTTCTGTATTACTCATTGTAGTTTTTACCTTCCACATGGAGCTATGTGCCAGACAATATTACAGCACGCCTATCTACATTTTTTTATTGCATGTGCCTACGATAAAAATTCTGTCAATAACAATGCCAGCAATTCAACACAGGTCGCTTACAACATCTACCAACGTCATCACTGACGGCAAAGGGAACGAGTGTTTAATAACGCCACTTGGGCCAGAAATAATTCAAAGCAGCGCACTCAATTGTGTTGTTTTTTTAGAACGGCAATCCCTTCTCCAACCTAGATAAAAACGCGTGTGATTAAACACTGGGCAAACAATCACAAAACTTTTCAATTGCCTGACCGCAAATCAAAGGGTGGCAAAACATGTTGTAAGTGGGGCAGGATTGCACACTCCAGCTTGCAGTAGTAAACAATAATAAGCAAACAATAATTTGGTCCTTTCCCATACATGTCCTTCAACGTGAAAAATTAAGCTTTTTTTTGGTCACTTAGTCATAACTATAGCAACAGTTCCAAATCTGGTAACCGAAGGAGGGAAAGGAAACTCCTGAAATGGCAGCAGCCACTGGCCACAACCCTCGGTATGAGGGACCACAGCGTTAAGGCATAGAGACGGGCACTTTGATGCCAACGTGTGAGCCGAGGCAATTTCTGCAGTGTGCAGCCTTGCACCCTTGCCAATTTAGTAGCCGATGCAGTCTCTCCCGTTACTCAAAACGTTTCTCAAAACGGGAGAGGCTTTTGCAGACAGCACAAATTTCCACATCGTGGCCGACCACAAGGCATGTAAAAAATGCACGGGTTGGCACTGGATATTTCAATCCTGCATAGAGTTTCTTCTGTAAATTTGTATTTTAACTATTACTACATGTGCTAAATATTTTTTTTACAAAAAATGCACGACTCAAAGAATATGTACGAAGAGCAAACGAGATGGCAAGAAGATTTTAGATGTATTTTCTGCCTTGCTCTCAGATGCTCAAAGTGTGCCAAAAAAAACACCCATTATTTTTAGCTAGATGGCTAACACTAGCTGCAGCTTGCACTGAGATGCAGAAAAAACTGAGATTTATGGGTAGAAGAAATTAGGTACCTGTCCCAAAACTCGCTTGGCACTCAAGATGCGTTCTTGAAGAAGCGCGAATCAAATCAGCGCTAAAATGGCCATTATATTATAATATATATACGAGGATGCATTCCCGACTGTGTTATTTATTACGTATGAACAAAATATCAGGGCTTCATTTGGGTATCGGCAATAGCGCTAATAATACAGATGCTAAACATTTTACATTTAAATGTATTCTTTATTTAAAAACATCAGCATTCTGTATGGTACTCATCAGGGCATCCAACTGATGCTCACAACACACATCACCAGCCTCGACTCGCCGAATCACTTGCAATTTAATATCCAAAGTGATCCTTTTCCTCAACACTTTGGCCACATTTCCAGCACTAACACTTGCAGACCTCTTTCAATTCAGTGGTCTGTGCAAGACATCTATTCAGAATTGCCTTCCTATAATGTTTTTTAATGTCTTTACTTACTTATTTTTATTTACTACTTACCTTACTCATGCTACTTGTGTGCACGATTGCACTTTATCCTGCACGTGATTGCAATTTACTTTTATCAGTCGGTGTTAGCCGCTGAGGGCGGGACAGGTTACTTCTCATTCCTGTTGCTGTATGCCCCTGTACTGTTCCTGATCCGTTGTAATGTGCACCGATGCCTACATTATTGACAGAGATATTGGCACGTAAAATAAAGATTGACTAAGAGGCCTTTTTCAGGGTAAAAAAATGCTCCCAAAAACACGAAAATAAGGCAGAAAGCCACTAAGGTGGAGTAAACACACTGGCGGGTGTGTTTAAAAAAACTGGCTAGTGCCGCTTGCTCTGAGCGTACATTGCTCTTATTGGCCAAGTGAATGTAAATAAAGATTGTGGCATGTGCGTTTCCTGCCAAACCTGTGTTCTCACTCTGAAGCGCTTTGTCCATTTTTTTGTATAAACTTGCTCCAGGACAAAAAGCGTTCTACAGGGTAGCGCTAAGCGAGGATTGCCTATAGTTTTGACTAACTCGGTGAATCGTGGCAAAAACGTATAAAACAGATGCACAATGCCGCAATGCTCATTTTTAGAAGAATATCACGGAGTGCCAATCATATGTAAATTATGACCATGGCAAATGGCCGATTCAACCTCGCATAAAGTGAAATTTTCAAATACTGCAATACAAAAAAATAAAACTACCGTATTAAAGCTAGCAGGGCAGTTTGCATTCCAGCTGCACATAGTGAGTGTGCCTGGGACATCTATTGAAAGGAGATCATAATAAAAAAAGATGAAATAGTGGTGGATGAGAGCAGATTGGAACGCTGAACTTAATGAAAAAGAGTGTATTCATGTTCATTATCTGAATCACTTTCCACGGGCATGTGGGCTACATGACCCAGCTGATGCAACTTTGCCTGCCTGAGCAGCTCACGGTTGGCACTGTCCCGATGAAAAGTGACACAATTTTGCCTTAAAAATGTGTTTAATCAGTGTGCAGTAGGTGCTATGACATATGACCCTGAAACATGGTCACGAATTAAAAAATATGGAACAAAAACTGGTGTGCAAAGTGTGAAGAGATACAGGATTGGAATTACACTGCAAGACGGAAAGAGGAACATGAGGATTAGAGAACATATGAAGGTGACTGACATCATCCAACCTATTTATAAAAGTAGATTCAGTAGGACACGTCGCGGTTTGAAGCAAGGGTGGAAAAAAGCCGATTTTTGAAAATTTTAAATCGGGTCATTGGTTTTATTTTTTTTATACCCGATTTTGTCGAAAAAAAACATGGTTTAATCCGGCAAGTAAAGTTGTCGTTAATCGGCACCAGTCATCGGATTCGCTGTCCTCTTCGATAATCTCAACCGCGCCGTCGAAGAAGGCGGGAATTTTGCTTTTGATGAAGACGAGCTTCTCCACCGACTTCACGCTCGGGCTGTTCCTCAGCTCGGAGTGAACGAAGGCCATGGTGAAGTTCCTCTCGGATGCAGTACTGGACGTGGCAATGCTGAACAGCTTGACGGCGATCTTTTGCAGCTCAGGCCACTCACTGCCATGGACAGCCAATACTCCATCGGTGTCTTGCGACCTTATACCATCATCTTGTAGCGGAACGTGTTGTTTGTCTTCTCTTTGGTGGGAGCTATAATTATAGGGATTAACAGGCAATAAAACCGAATTAAACCGGATTTTGGGCCATCTGAGATGATTTTGCTAAAAAAATATATTTTACGAGGCAAGGCCCACTGAGCTTTATAGCTATTTTTCAGAAGCAACCAGGCCACAAATGATAGATCAACGAAGTGGCTTATCACGTGGGAATTTATAGCAGCAAAATACTCTAAACCAATGTTTCTGAATGTAGAGTGATAAACTGGAGGACCCAGATAAAAATACACGCGACCACAGGTAGAACATGGAAACGCTAAATATACAGGCATCAGGGTCGGTATCGAACCCACTACCTCCTGCATACCAGGCAAGGTCGATAAAATCTCACTACTGTGGCAG